GGAGAGGTAGTAGGAGGAGGAGGAGGAGGAGGGAGGAGGAGGAGGAGGAGGAGGAGGAGGAGGAGGAGGGAGGAGGAGGAGGAAGAGGAGAGGAGGAGGACGAGAGGAGGGAGGGGGAGGAGGAGGAGGAGGGAGGGAGGGAGGGAGGGAGGGAGGGAGGGAGGAGGGAGGAGAGGAGGGAGGAGGGAGGATGGGGAGGAGGAGGAGGGAGGAGGGGAGGAGGAGGAGGAGGGGAGGAGGAGGAGGAGGAGAGGAGGAGGAGGAGAGGGAGGAGGGGGAGGGAGGAGGTGGAGGAGGAGGAGGAGGAGGAGGAGGAGGAGGAGGAGGAGGGGCGGAGGAGGAGGAGGGAGGGAGGGAGGGAGGGAGGGAGGGAGGGAGGGAGGAGGCGGGAGGGAGGAGGAGGAGGAGGAGGAGGAGGAGGAGGAGGAGGAGGGTGAGGAACAGGGGGCGGGGCACGCTTGGAATACCCCACGAGCGTCGATGGTCATCGTTGTCCCGGTCAATGTTGCCACCGTGCTGTCATAGTGAGTCCAGTGCCGTAGGAAAGTTGAGCAAGGACCCCCAAATGCAAGAATTTCTTTCGGGAACATCTGGAATGCGAGAAGGTATCTAGAGGCCTTCGGCAATCCCGCCGCTGGGCCTAGGTTGAGGGTTGGGGACATCGTGGATGTTCGTTTGGATATCGTGGGAGGCCTCTTGGAGACAGCTGGGAGACCTCTTGGCGGCCGTGTGGGGGCTTCTTGGTGTCGCTGTTTAGGCCTCTTGGGGGCCTCGTGGGGTCTCTGGGATGCCTCTTGGGCTCTCCTGGGGTCTCTTGGGGCCTCCTGAGCGCCTCTTAGGGCGCACGGCTCGAATTGTCGGTTCGTGTTCCCCCCTCTTGAGCACCTCGTGGGGCCGTCGTTGGTCCCCCTTGGGCGATCTTGGGCGCCTCTTGGGCCGTTGTTGGGCCCTCTTGGACCGTCTTCGGGCCCTCTGGGGGGCCTCTTGGGCCGGCTTGGGGCGATCTAAAACACGAAACCGCGAGAACACAAAACACACCGAACAACAGAACAGAAGAAACATCAATGATTGTGCCTCTTTGGTCCCTCTTGGGGGTATTCTTGGAGCGCTCGTGGGGCTTCTTTGGTGCCTCTTGGGCCGTCTTGGGGCCATCTCGGGTGTCATGGAGCGTTGTTGGGCTGTCTTGGAGGTTTCTTGGACCCGCTTGGGCGCTTTCTGGAGCCCTCTTTGCCCGTCTTGGGCTCTCTGGCCGATGGAGCAATTAGCAGAGCACCCCTCGGGTGAATAAGGCATGAGCAGCGAGTGCACATGCTCTGAGTCAAATTATCAGAGCGGCGATCTGCGAATGAGAGGAGGAGCAGTGAACGTGCACATGCTCTGAGGCCAATTAGCAGAGCGGCGCTCTGCTGATCAGAGCCCGGGCAGGATGGGGAGCCCTGCCGTGACCCCAATTAGCAGAGCAGCATACCGCTAATGAGGGGAGGAGCAGGGAGTGGTATGCTTCGAGGCAAATTAGCAGAGAGTCGCTCTGATACATTGAGCCAGGCCAGTCTGGAAATGAATGGTCGAGGCCCCTTGATAGAACTCAGGATTCAGGACAGAGAACACTTGAGAGCCTGGTGGTAACTCCACGTCGTGCCTCGAGGCACCGTGGCGGACCTTTATACATCATACATCTAAGCGTCGTGCCCAGCGAGATCACCTCCTGGAGATCTATCGATATACATGTGTATATATATATATATATATATGTCTACATATATATACTTATATATACATGTATATATATGGTGATCTAGATCGAGATCCCCATCGGTGTAACGCCTGCGCTCGTTTACGCTCCTGGTCATGAACTTCGAGGAGATCTGGCGCGACAGCCCCACTTAGAAAAGGAACTGGCCTCCATCCGTGCAGCTGCGACATCTGCTCAACGTGTTGGCCTTGGCATTGAAGGAAGTTTCTAGCGAGAGCCCAACTTTGAAAAAAACAATCTACCATCCACTCAAAGTGTTGCTAGTTTCGCTCCCATCCGCCAGGCGTTCAACGAACGCTTTTCCGTTCACGTTCTGCAAACTGTAGTCGAGGACGGGGCGGACGTGGAGGGAAAGGATGGAAGGGGGGAGCAGGAAAAAGAGGAGGACACGGATACGGAGTATCATGAGATAGGAGAAGGAGGGCGAGGAGGAGGAGGAGGAGGAGGAGGAGGAGGAGGTGGAGGAGAGGGAGGAGAGGGAGGGGGCGGAGGACGAGGAGGAGGATGAGGCGGGGGCGGAGGAGGTGGATGCAGGAGAGCGATGGCGACGACCACGACGAGAGTCGTCCCTCGAGGTGCTCGCGGGGCCGTCGCTCTGTGGGGGCCTCTTAGGGAGGCCTCGTGGGGCCGACGGGGAATCCTTACTGGGACACTGTTGCAGCCCCGGCCCTGTGGACGCGGCTCTCCGACGGGGCTAGGGCGAGGGTAAATTCGGGGGCGGAAAAGAGGGGGGTGATGACTAGGGCGGGGTGGATATCATGGCGGGGGCCATGATATTTCCCCAGATTTCATGGCGCCTCTTCTTATTCCATTACTTCCCTGGCCCCCCCGCTGGGCCGCGCACATGCCGCCGGTCATGATTTGCACCCCCCACTCTTGGACACCCCCCTCTTGGCCGCTCCCGAATGAACGATCTCAGAGCGTGCCGGAACGCTCTGAGAAGGACGAGGCATTTTCCAGAGCCGCGGGATCTCAGAGACTCTCGATGCGTCCTTCTCCGATGCCATCCTCGTCCTGCCTTCGTCTTCTTCTGGGGGCCTCCCGAGGCGTGATGCGCAGGGCTCCGGCCGGGCCTCGGCAGCGGGGCCGCCCCCGGCCCCCCCGCACCGTGGGCACGGCCCCGGCCCTGGCCCGCCGGCTTCGGCCCCGGCCCCGACCGGGCCGGGCCCCGGCCCGGCACCCCCTTCCGGCCCTACCTTGGCGAAACCACCTTGGCACTCCCCCCCAGACAGAGCTGAAGCTCAGGCTTTTCTGGCGGCTGACGCGCTGGATCGGCGGATGTATGTCCGGCGGCTTTGTTTTATCTCTCTGTATCTCCTTCTCGCTTTCTCTCTCTCTCTTTCTCTTTCTCTTTCTCTTTCTTTTTTTATCTCTCTCTTTCTCTCTATCATGAACTCTCTCTCTCTCACTCTTTCCACCTCTCCCTCTGTCTCTGTCTCTGTCTCTGTCTCTCTCTTCTCTCTCTTTCTCCATCCCTGTTTCTCTTTGTCCTTGCAGGACCAGGACAGTCACACAGTGGTGAAGAAGCATTCGCCCTGCCCCTTTCTGCTCCGCTCCGCCCGCCCTCGGCGCGGCCCCCTGCTCCGCCCGTGCAGCGGGTCTTCGGCCACGCTCCATTCGACGAGCGCGTTCCCCGTGCAGCGGGTCTTCGGCCACGCTCCATTAGACGAGCGTGTTCTTCTGCTCGCAGAGTAACTGCTCGCAAATGGCCTGGATCCCCCGCCAGGGATCTACGATAAACTAGCGGCCTCGGAACAAATTAGCGAACAGTCATGTCACATTCATCTGTCAACGGCTCCCCCTCCCCCCAATGTTTCCCTCTACCGTATATAAAAGCAGACAGGTGTTTTGATTCGGACGTTTGCGAACAGGCACTGTGCGATTAGAGGAACGCGCTCGGCGATCCACGGGGTGGAGTGTGCGCCAGGAGACCCGCGGCCGACGATCGCCGGGCCCCCCCGGCTCCAGGCGTCGCCCCCGCCCAGGCTTGGTCATCCAGCAGTGGCGGAGCGTCCTGGCGTGCCAAGAGGCCTACCAAACCATGTTCTAAGAACCTGTTGTGGTTCCCACGAAATTCAGGAGGAAAAGAAACACACAGACACGATTACCCCTCGATTTCCAAGAAAATATAGGAAAATAAGGGAAGTGGGCGGGAAGACAGAAACCTCGAACATATGGGGAAATATGGGGGATCATTTTATTTGGTGTGTATTTATTTGTGTGTCCCTGGGCCCCTTCAGAAATGTCCTTAGAACAGTTCTGGTTGGGACCGTCTTGTTTTATCACATCGGGTTTATGTTCTGAGAATATTGTTCTTGGGTTATTATAACAGTTATGGGTCCTAAGAACATTTCGTGGCAGGACTATGGGAATGCCAGGACGGTCGGTCCCTGCTCGAGGTCAGGAATCGCCCTGGGGGCCCTCGGGGCCTCGGGGCAGGGACCCCAAGAATTCGGCATGGCCAGAACGCACAGCGACGCAGCCCACGAACAAATCACAGGGCCTGCACATGAGACTGTGGAAAAAGTTCACCGGGCTCTCGACCAGGACAAGTTTACAGGGCCCAGAACTTGAGACATCCTTTGCCCGACCCCGACCTCCGTCCGAACGAAGGCATAGCCGATGCAGCCCCTGGAGGCGGGGGACTAGGCGTCGGTGATCAAGGTGATGTTTTTCGGATCAAGCAATCTGAGGATGGGGCCAACTGAGAGGGCACTGAATACGTTCAAGCTAAAAAGTTGTGCGCTGTTGGTTTGACCCTTACCTTTCTTTCTCGTGCCTTCTGCCTGCCTCCCGGCCACGCGCCGTAATTCTTGTGCCTCCCTTGCCAGTCTACTCAGTGTGCCGTGCCCGCGGACCCACGGTACAGTCGGGGCGCTGAAGAAGGAACCCTTCTCGTTGGGGAGGGGCTCCGTGTTCCTTGATTGCTTCACAGCTTGCCTCAGGTGTTCCTTAGGTTTTCGATGGGCCATCGAACTTTCTCTGATGGGAAAAAGGGGCCTCGTTCCTCATTTCAGCGAGCGAAGAACGGTACAACATAAACTTTTTCGCTGTCGGGGGCGCCTGTCCCTGGGCGGCTGGACAGTTTAAACCCCTACGGTGCCACCGTAAGGGTATAAACTTTCCAGCCGCCCAGGGATAGACGCCCCCGACAGCGAAAAAGTTTATGTTATACCGTTCTTCGCCCGTTAATTATTTAGGGTTCCTTAGGTCAACGCCCCGACGGTACTCGCAGCCTCTGCTCCAGGCGCAGGTGCTCACCGACAGGGCCCGCTCCACGATAGAGTCCGGTCCGTGGGTCCCGTTCCGCGACGACCAGCTGAACGTGTGCACGCCTCGGCCATCCATTGGCCGCGATCGCACCGCGAGCCCATCTTTCTCCTCCTCCTCCTCGTCCTCCTCCTCCTCTTCCTCCTCCTCTTCCTCCTCCTCCACCCCCCCTCCTCCTCTTCCTCCTCCTCCTCCTCGCGTCCTGAACTCAACGGGACTTGGAGCCCGTGGTCTGGAGCCCGTGGGTTGTCGCGAGATTGCCGTGCCGAGTATGTATTTAGAAGGGCCTGCGAAGAGTTTGAATTCGGGGCGACTGGCAGGGGCATCTGTCTCCAACGTCATATCCCCTGCACCCCCCCCAAACCCTCGTTTTCCACACTTGCGTTTGCACTGGAGAGCCTTGTTCTCCTGTGAATCCTACCTCCTGCTCCTCTGAATCGGACTGGGCCGGTTTGCCCCGAGGGAGCTTCAGTGCCGCGAGAGGTCTTTGAAATGTCGGTAGAGACCGCAGAGGTCAGGGCATTGCCTTTCCGTTTGCGTCCGATGGTTCCGAACATGAAAGGGACTGGCAAAGGATGCTGCGACTTCGCATGTGCAACCCAGATCAACTTTATGGTCCTGATCGCGACGCTGACCCCGAGCAAGGTCGCCGCTAATCGATCGACCAGCTGCCCGGTCCGCCGGCTCGTACGTTTGTGAAAGCTTGGCTCGCTCCCGTTGCGCAATGTGCCGAGCTGGTCGAGGCGACCAGCTTGGGTCGTAGACTTAAGTCGGGCCTGTCCCTCAACAGGGGGAATATTCAAAAATAGTCAGAACATAGTCTGGGGACTATTTTTGTAGTATTTGGGGGCATCTTTTGAATATTGTCTGGGTTTCTTTCAATTTTTCGTCCAGAATCCCCCTGTAGGGGGACAGGCGCGACCTAATCGTAGACAAGGGTTGGGCCCCCCAAGGGCTTCACGAGAGCTCCCGACTCCTGGAGACGGCGTTTGGTTCTTCCTGGGCGCCCCCTCGGGAGCCCAGTCACAAGCAATTATTCACTCTCCGCACATCCCTTCCGGTCAATCCAGAATCGATGCCTCGTGGACTTGTCGGGCGGAGGGGCGCGACACAGGCATATCCTGAAGCAAGGCGGCCAAGAGCTGTGGGCGTAGAGGACCCCACGAGCCCTTTGGAGCCATCTTGGATCTTGGAGCTCTCTTTGGGACCACTCCGGGAGCCCTCGAGGCGCTCCTGGGCCTCTCGAGGGCCGTCTTGGAGGATATCGATGGACAAAGTGGGGAGGTTCTCAATTGGTGTCGGCCCACAGGAGGCCGACATCTGCTAATGACAGGGGAGAGCGCGTGTGTTTGCTTTCTTGTGTGGGCCAAAAGGACGCTCTGACGCCTCGCGGGGCGAGAGGTCTGGACCCAAGGGAGGGGGTCGGGGAGACCCCAAAGGGAAGAAGGGGGGTTCAGGAACGAAAGAAGGACCTACACGTACATGATCCCACGTTGTCGAAGTACGCATTGCGCCGCAATTGCGCGTATCACGAGACTGGTCTCGCGGACTGGGGGGCCGTATGTTGTTGGGCGCGTGCGTCTTTTGTGGGCTCACTACAGTGGGAGGACAAAAGTTCGCAAGCTGCGCGAGCAATGCCGAGGGCGAGACACCGAGAGAGCATCGGAACTTCCAAGATCAGAGCAGCGCCCCTCCGAACCACATTTCAATGCTGACTTGCGATGTTTCGTCCTCCTGGCCGCGGGGTGCCCCATCGATGCCCACATTGATATGTAGGGGGCGGGGGGCGTAGCTCCGAAATGGTGTCGCAATCGATGTGCAGCTGCATGCGCCCGCGAGCAACTTGCAATATTTCGTTCTCCCACCGTAGGGTTGCAAGAACAATCTTTCCGAGTCGTCCACGCCCAGGGAGATTGTCGGGTTCGCGCCGGGCTTTTCAGGAGCATCGCGGAGGCCAGGGGAGACCCATAGAGATCTAGGGCCTCAGCTCCCCGGAGCTCGACGTGGGTGGCATTGGACAGGGAGTGCCCTCGGAAGGGGCGAGACCTCAGCACATCTCGTGCTGGCGGCAGGGAGGGGGGCAAGACCGCCGCGCGGGCGCGGACGAGAGTTGTGGAGAGGGCCTTGGCGCCGACTAGTCGCCCCCGCTCAGCCGTGTCCCGGGGGGCAAGGCAGAAGCGGGCGGGGCTGGTTTGGATTCGATATGATGGCGCGCTAGCCCGATTCCCGTATTTTTAAGCATGGCGTTGAGTGTGGCAGATCATGGACGTGCTTGAGTGCAGAGGACAGGGGGTGTGTTGGAAGAGGAGATGGCCACCATTCCAAGTTTTGAAGGTGCCTCATACAGTCGGGGCCCTGAAGAAGGAACCCTTTTTGTTGGGGAGGGGCTCCGTGTTCCTTAGTTGCTTTACAGCGCTCCTCGGGTTTTCCTATGTTGTCCTGAGGTTTTCCATGGAAAATCGGAGTTTCGCATATGGGAAAAAGGGCCTCGTGCCTTATTTATCGTTCCTTAGGTCAACGCCCCGACTGTACTCGTGGGGGATACGGTTGGAAGGCTGTGCGGTTGATTGGTTGAGGCGGCGACTCTGATGTTTTTGGATTGTTTCGTTTGTTCTTGCCGTTGTCATGGGCGCCTTAGGTTCTGGTACCACCTCATCGACAAGTCGACGGTGACGCAGAGCCCTGTGGACCCTGTGACTGGCGTCCCAGCTTCCGTGGGAAGGGGAGGTTTCAGAGCGACAGGATGTGACGCCGATGGGGTCGTCGCCAGGCTTTGCCGTGGTGCGCATAAGCATTACAGCACGCGCGGCAGAGGGAAACGCTTGCAAGATGTGAAGACATCAGGGAACAAGCGAGCCCAATAGGCAGGACCTAAGGATCAGGGAGGCGGAGTGATAAAGAAGGTCAGGAGTTGCAAGCCCAATGGAAGCTGAACGGCAACCATCTCTGTGAGACTCTGACGCATAGTGTAAAGTGTGTGATACTGCAACAAGATCCGTAGTACAGTGGCCTGGAACACTTGCAAGCTGGAGGTAGATACAGCATCAAAACGTTGGCCCGATGAGGCTAGAGAGCATTGGTATCAGTCCCCCTGTCTACCCATCCTGTATTGCCGCTGCCGACTTGAATGCTCATGCCTGGCTCGTTTGTCGTTGTTTTTGATCAAACCAGAGATGCTCGAGAAAGTGTGGGCTCTTTGTGGCTGGCACTCCCGACTCCGAGAAGCGCGAAACTATTCGAGAGGTTTGGCGTGGGAACCTAAGCCAGCTCCGATGAGGCCTTGCCTGCCTGGTTGCGGCCAAAGTCACAGATGTCGCCCCTTCTCGTGGGCGTGTGGGAGGTCCACTGGATCAGTTGGTGCCCAGCGCCCTACGCAGATCCAGCGAGGGCCTTGCCTCCCTGGGCAACGCCAGATGCGCAACTGCTACCACGTCCGTGGGTTCCTGGGAGGTCCAGCGGAGTGGTGGCTTGCGCAGATTCAAGCCATACGTCGCCTCCGTGACCAGTGCAAGCTGCGCAAGCGTGGCCGTTTTCGTGGGCTCTTTTGGGAGGTCCAGCGCAGGGGGGGTCCTACGCAGATAAAGATGAGGCCTTGCCTACCTGGCCGATGCCAGCTACGCAGTCGTCGCAGCTTCCGTGGACGCCGGGAAGATTCAGCGGAGTGGCGTCCCATGCAGATCCAATTCAGACCTCTTTCTGAGCGCCATCAAAGAGGACAACGACGGAGGATGAGGAGGAGAAGGAGAAAGAGGACGAATCACGATGATGTTGATGATGATGATGCTGATGCTGATGATGATGACGATAATGAGAATGATGCTAATGATGATGATGCTGCTGATGATGATGTTGATGATGCTTCTGCTGATGCTGATGATGATGCTGATGATGATGCTGGTGATGCTGCTGATGATGATGCTGCTGCTACTGATGAGTAGTATGATGCTGATGATGCTGATGATGATGATAATGGTGATGGTGATGATGATGTTGATGATGATGATGATGATGATGATGATGATGATGACGAGGAGGAGGTGGCGGAGGAGGAGCGGTTACCCATCGGACCCGCGGAGGCGTTACCATTGATAGCATGTTCCCGTCCTTTTCACTGCTGTTTATCTGCCTGTGCGTATGTGTCCGTAACCCTCTGGATCAAGTAGGGAGGGCCGGCCGCCCAGCAGCCGCGATGGGGGCCAGCAGCAGCGCCCAGATCGCGGCGGCGGCCGCCAGCATCGCGCGCGTGGCCGGGCACGCGGGGGCGGAGGCCGCGTGGGGCGCAGTGGGCTCCACGCGAGCGCTGGAGGCGGCGTCGGGTGGCATGAATGCCGCCGACGTCTCCGTCTGCTTGGCATTCTCTGCGATGTCCGGGGTCGGCGTGGGTTTCTTCGGCTGCCTCCTCGCCGCCTCCGACGGCATCAGGAATCAAGGGCATAAGAAACGCCCCTACCCTGGTTTACGAGGCGCTGTGCGCTGAAACTCCTGTGGGATGTCAGGGTAAACCCTGCGTGATGTGCGCCGTCCTGGCGGCTCTCTAGGCTGGAGGTTTAAAGACCACGCACTTGTAACCCAGGGTGGGGTCTTTTTTTTTCATCCCTCAAAGGAAGGCGAATGGCAACAGGCACACGCGTCGGAGCAAGCTTGGCGTTACGGTTGGCGCCATCGGCTCGACGGTGTTCGGTTTGGGCTCTCTGGTGGGCCTCTATTTCGGGCCAGTTACCTTTGTCACGATGGCGCGGACCGGGATGGCGTTGCCAGCGAACGTCCTGTTCAGCCAAGTCTTCCAGCTGAGGCCGCTTGGGCGGGACGACTACCTGGGGACGGTGATCACCATCTCCAGCGTCATCTGCTTCATGATCTTCGTGGGCCGTCCGGGCGACGAGCTGTCCAGGGACGCGTTCGAGGAGGTCCTCTGGAGTGTCCCCGCCCTGTCACTGCTGGGCGGCCTCGCGGTGATCTGGGCCGCGTGCACCGTCTACATCGATGGGCCTGTTTTCTGCCACCGCCACCACAAGTCGGAGGGGGGAAGGAGGTGGAGGAGGAGGAGGAGGAGGTGGAGGAGGAGGAGGAGGAGGAGGAGGTGGAGGAGGAGGAGGAGGAGGAGGATCCCCTCCCCCTGCAACTTGTGGTGGCGGTGGTGGAAAGCAGGCCCTTCACACATCGTTGCCCTAAGGGCCCGTGGCATGCACGAGCGCAGGGGGGTCAGCACCGCGACCGCCGTGTCCCTGATGACGGGCTGCTCGTCGGCGTTCATGGACGTCTCCACCAAGGGCTGGACCGCCTGCCTGCGCTCGGCGGGGGGGCCGCTGGACGTGGTCGCGCTCGGCGGCTGGCTCTTCTGGGCGTGCGTCGTGGCCAACGTCTTCTTCATGGTCTTCATGCGCTTCGGCCTCAGCTCGGGTGCTGCTAGAAGTGCCCCTGGCCCAAGGTGCCCCAAGGACTTCGAAGGAGGCCCCCACGGCCTCCAGAGCACCCCTCACGAGGCTCAGAGGGCCCCAGGGGCTCCAGAATCAAGCGAAAAGCTGGGGGTATCTTGGGCCAGGGGCACTTCTAGCAACACCCGATCATCTGGGGCTGCCAGCACTGCGACGTGCTGCTGTTCGTGCCCCTGAACTCGGTGCTGAACACCCTCTTCAGCGTCGTTGCCGGCATCGTCGCCCTCGGCGAGGGCAGCGGCGTGATCTCGTGGGCGGGCCTGGCGTTCTCGGGCATCAGCTGCGCGACGGGCACGATCCTGCTGGCGGGCGGGCCGCAGGACGTGATCGACGACGCCAAGTCGGACATCTTCACCGACGGCGTCGAGGACGACGAGGGCGACGGCGAGGCCGACGAGGCGAGCCCGCAGGAGCTCCACGGCGCCGCGGGGGACCCGACGCCACACGCCATCCGGCTGTGCTCCGCGGGCAACTGGACCACGGCCGTGTCCAACCTGAACATGGAGCTCAAAGCGCGGTGGAAGCACAAGTCGAGGATCCGGGGCCTGGTCGACAGGCTCTCGAAGAGCGCGCGCCGCCGCGCGGACCGCACGGCGGACGACTCCGACGGGTCCTCGGAGACCGAGGAGTCGCACGAAGGCATATGTTAATGCTGTGCTCGTGCTCACTGCGCGGGCCCCTTGCGGGCGCCGCCGCGCGCGGGAGGCGCGCGTGGCATTGGGCGGAACAAAAACAGATGTAGCACCCTGCAATTGCGGATGGGTTCACGGCTGGGGGTGGGTCGCGGCTGAGTCGTGGGTGGGTCGCGGCTGGGTCGTGGGGGGGTCGCGGGTGGGTCGCGGGCGGGTCGCGGGTGGGTCGCGGGCGGGTCGCGCGGGGCGGGCGCGGGGTGGGTCGCAGCTGGGTCGTGGGTGGGTCGCGGCTGGGTCGTGGGGGGGTCGCGGGTGGGTCGCGGGCGGGTCGCGGGTGGGTCGCGGGCGGATCGCGGTTGGGTCGCGGGTGGGTCGTGAGTGGGTCGCGGGTGGGTCGCGGGCCGGGTCGCGGGTGGGACGCCGACAAATAACAACACACAAATCAATAATACTAACAACAACAGCATAAACAACAACAACAACAACAACAACAACAACAACAACAACAACAACAACAACAACAACAACAACAACAACAACAACAACAATTTTCAATTTCCAACTACCACATTCAACACCAACAAGAACAACACCAACAATAACCACACTTCAACACCACCAACAACACCAACAACACCAACAGCAGCAGCAACCACAACATGAACATTGACAGCAGCAGCAACAACGTCAACGACAACCACAACCACAACGACAACTGCAACAACATCACCAACAACAGCAACAATAATGACAACAGCGACATCAGCAACAACTGCAACCAACCACCACAACAGCAAACACAGCAACACTCACAACAACATCAACAGCATTGACAACATCAGCAGACACACGACAACTAAAACCACAACAACCGCCACTACAACACCAATACCAGCAACAACAATCACAACAACAGCAACACCAACCACAACAACAACAACAACAACACCACCATCAACTACCATGTTATATGATATTGTTCGCTCTCCCCTGCCCGCTTGCCTTTCATCACTCATGTCCCAGACCCTCGACACCCGCCCTCCTCGCCTTGGGTCGTACCCCCGTAAGGGGGCATATATTTCGTGAAGCCCCTAGGGCAGGGACAGAGAGGGTGGATAGACGTAAAGGACAAGGGAGAGGGAGGAGGATGGAGAACGATAGAGAGAGAGAGAGAGAGAGAGAGAGAGTAGCAGGAGGGGGGCTAGGAGCAGAGAGCGCGTGGCAGAACCAGACGGGCAGATCGGGCGGGTAGACCCGAGAGGGCGGGTCGGGAAGGCGGGCTCCGACGGCCATGTCGAGTAGGCGGGTTGCTAAAGCGTGCGTCCTGCATGAATCGCAAGGAAGTCTCGAGCGATAGCGCGATTCCCAAATACATCGCCATGACATCCACAGCGAGAGCATGCTTCCTGAGAGTCGAGGGCGCGGCGTCTGAATCAACTGCGAGGAAGTCCCACGCGAGAGCGCGAGTCCTGCATAAACTGTGAGGACGCCCCGTGCGAGAGCGCGATGTGGGAATAGATTGTGAAGAAGTTTCAGGCGGGAGCCGTTTTTGCCCCCCCCCCCCCCCCCCCACCGCACACATTCACACATACACGCACACACACACACACACACACACATTCTTGGGCGCCGCGGCCCTGCGCGCAGCGACGGGGCGGAGAGAGCTAAAAGCAGGAAGCGCGCGCGCGTGGCAACCAGGAGCGCCTCGTCCCTCACATACTGCTTCGGATCTTGCAGCCGCCCGCCACCAGCCATAAGCCATCTCAGCGTGGATGGCAGAGGGGACTGTGGGTCAAGCTAGGTGCGCTCGCGTCATATCTGACATCCTACCCCTCCCTCCCATCCCTTACCATGCCGTAGATCCCCCCTCTACTCGCACAGTCGGATGTCGAGCAGGGCAACGATCCCGAAAAGGGCACGCGATGCACTGTAGAGCACGGCATGGCATGGCGTAGAAGAGACGACGCTGTGGCGTGGTGGGGGAGCCATGAGCCAACTGGGACTGGAAGGCGGCGGGAGCGAGGAAGCAGCGCGTGGAGCGACCGGGAGGACGACGCCGACCTGGAAGCCCACGACGGGCGGAGGGGGGCACGAGCCTATACGAGGAGCAGTGCCACCTGCCAGCCACGGAAGGCAGGGCACAAGGAGGAGGAGGAGGAGGAGGAGGAGGAGGAGGAGGAGGAAGGGAGGAGGGGGGAGGAGGGGGAGGAGGGAGGAGGAGGAGGAGGAGGAGGGAGGAGGAGGAGGAGGAGGAGGAGGAGGAGGAGGAGGAGGAGGATAGGAGGAGGATGGCGGAGCAGACCTGGCGGCGACGGCGGCGAGGGGCCGCAGCAGCGCTGCGGCGCGGGCCAGCCGGGCGGCGGCCAGAGAGGGCGGCGGCCGGGAAGAGGCCAGCGCGGGCCGCACATGGCCCCCGTCCGCGAGGAGGGATCGGACGGGGCCGGGACGAGGATGAGTCCGTTCGACAGCGTCTCAGTCTCAGCGCGTTTTGGCAGCGCTGCGGGACGCTCTGGGGGGGCCGGGGCGCCCGAGGCGTCCCCCTGGAGCCGCGGCATCCCAGGGATCCTCGACGGTATCCTCGTCCGACGTTGCCCTCGTCCTATAGCTCCGTGCGAAGGGCCCCGGGGGGGGGCAGAGAGCTTAGTGGGCCCTGGAAACGACAGGGCCGTTTTTGTACCGGTTCTGTTTTGCCGTTTTTGTTGCCGGTTCCGACGCCGTTCTTTTACCAGTTCCGGTGCCGTTTTTGGACCGGTTCCGGCTCCGGCTCCAATCCTGGGGCCGTTTTTGTTGCCGTTTCCGGTCGCCGTTTTTTTGTGCCGCTTCCACTTTCAAGAGATTTGTTTTGGGAAACGGTGAAAAAAACGGCCCTGCCGTATCCGGGGCCCACAAAGTCCTTGACCATCTTGCAATCTGCTCTGGCGGTCTTTGGCGCGCGCGCCGTGCGGACGGCATGCCAGATGCCGCCTCGGACCGTCTCGTGCCGCCGTGGGCCGTCCCGGGTGCTCGGATCCCAGCACGCGCCCGCCCGTCCAGGCCCAGAAGAGGGACTTCCCTGAGCGGAGCGGGGCAGCCCCTCCGGGGCCCACAAGGGCAGAGAGGGAGGGCGGGCGGGAGCCCAGCCCCGGGGGCCAGGGAGCGGAGAGGCCAGCGGCGAGGGGCAGCCGGAGCGCGGGGGGCGCAGCGGGGGGGGAGGGGGCAGCAAGAGGGGCAGCACGGGCCAGGCGGGGCGCCCGGAGGAGGGCGCGCGCCTCCCCCTTTTCGGGGGCTCCTCGAAGGGGGAGGGCACGGCCTCCTCCTCCTCCCCCTCCTCCTCCTCCTCCTCCTCCTCCTCCTCCTCCTCCTCCTCCTCCTCCCCTTGTGCACGGGCATCCTGCCAGTCCCTGCCGGCGATGGGGATGCGACGTCGGGATGTCCTTCAGGGCCCTCCGCGGGCTCAGCCGAGTCTATACACACGCATGGGCGCTGTGAGGCAGGGCGGGTGCCGGTAGTTAGCTCCCCCAAGGAGGGCGCGCCTCCTCGATGGGCGCTCCGCCACGGGAGGAGGGCGCGCCTCCTTTTCGTGGGCGGGGGAGAGGGGCGGTGCTGCCCCGCGGACGCGAGAGGTGCCGCTCCGCCTGGGGTGCCCACGCCGACAGAGACTGGATCTCAGACAAAAAATAGTCAGGGGACGGTTTCACGATTATTCTTTTAGTATGTTTGAATGGTCTTTGGCTATGTTTCTCAGCCACCCTGTCTTGGGTCCCCGTTTTGAAGAAATTGTCCGTGCGTTCATTCCTCATCCTCCCGCTGTCCCCTCCCTCATCATCATCAGCAGCATCATCATCATCATCATCATCATCATCATCATCATCATCATCATCATCAGTACCATCAGCATCATCATCATCATCGTCCTCATCATCATCATCATCATCAGCAGCATCATCATCGTCATCGTCATCATCATCATCATCATCATCATCATCATCATCATCATCATCATCATCAGTATCATCATCATCATCGTCATCATCATCATCATCATCATCATCATCATCATCATCATCATCTTCATCTTCATTATCATCATCATCATCGTCATCATCATCACCGTCATCATCGTCATCATCATCATCAGCAGCAGCATCATCCTCATCGTCATCATCCGTTTCAGCACACACACTTCACACGTTTCGTGGCCACACAGGGACCCCACCGAAGGCCAAATTTCAAGCGTTCGCACGCGGCCACCGCAACCATTTTGGCACACCCCTCACGTTTCATGGTCCCACAGGGGCCCCACCGAAGGTCCAAATGCCAGCGTTCGCATGCGGCCACCGCACTCTTCCTGGCTCGGGGCGACCCGCCCCGCCCGTCTGTGATGCGTGCTCCGGGCGCATCCTGGCGCCTGAGCCTCCCCTGGCGTTGGCAGGTGGCTCCTCGCCCCCGCCGCCCCGCTGCGGCGGCGCAGCAGGTCAGCAGCTCAGCAGCCCGTGGGCCCAGCCTTGGCATCGCACGGACGTGTGCATTGTTTCTCGGCGAGAACCATCGAGGACCATCCTGGACCATCGAGCAACAAAAAACACGCACGAAACCGAAAAATGCACGGGAAATGGACGTCCGAGCGACGGCAAGCAGCATTGCAGCGTTTTGCTGCAGCGCGCGGATTGCAGCCCCGTCTGTCGCCACGGACGTTCAGTCCGTGTCTACAGCCGGTGGGCGCCGTACGTTTGCGGCACAGTCTGACGCTGACGGTTTCGCGACAGACATGTTGGACGCTCCCACGCTTACCGTTCAGTCTGGCCTGTCCCTCTACAGGGGGAATATTCAAAAATAGGCGAAAAATAGTCTGGGGACTATTTGTTGACAACTTTTGAGTATGTGGGTGGTATGTTTCGAGTATGTTTTTTTTTATTTTTCGCCCAAAATCCCGGGGGACAGGCCCGACTTAAGCTTACGGTTTCGCGACAGACCTTTTACAGTGGGGGCGCGTGCCAAGGAACCAGCTGGATTCTGCCAGGGTGCCCTGGGTTTCTTGGATTTCGATGGGCCCCCAATAAAAACTTGACGATTTTTGATGGACCAGTTTTTTGATTTTCACGGAACAGATCGCGGATTTTAGGGTTGGGTTTCTTGCGGAGGTTTCTTGTGGCCGAGCCCCCACTGTAGACGCTCCCACTCTTACCGCTGTGGCCCCGCCTGCCGCTCCTCCTGCCGTGCAGAGGTACGCCTTGCGCTACGCTCTCCGCGCATGCCGCCGTGGCTTCCGCCCCCTGCGGGTGTGGTCGCGACGCCGCTCCGCGTCCGCTGCCGGGTCGCCCCAGCACAGGCCGGTCGTAGCCCCAGAGACCCAACGTACTGAAAACATCAAGACGGAGGTTTTTCGTAGTTTTCGGCCTCGAGGGGCCCTCGCCGGGCCCCGGGACCGTCAAACAACGACTCAGGATGAGAAACCGATCCTGGGGAATGCGTCGAGATTTCTGGGGGCCCCGTATTGAAAAAATCGCGACGTCGGATACGCCATGCTGCACATACAGGAGGGTTGGGCGGGGGCAGGCACGTGGCACCTACGCCAGGGACGCGCCAGGCGGAGGAGGAGGAGGAGGAGGAGGAGGAGGAGGAGGAGCAGCGAGGAGGAGAAGGAGAAGAGGAGAAGGAGGAGGAGGAGGAGGAGGAGGAGCAGCGGGCCGGCTGGGGAAGGCATTCATTCGACGATCTTTTCGACGAGACACCCTTCCAAGAAGAACGAATGCACCTCCCGATCATCCAAACTCTTACCAGCCTCGAGCGTATCCCTATCCCTAAGATTGACACGCCAAAAGGCGATGACGATCTTAGGGGTTCGCCCTCAAAACATAAGGGAATTCCTAAGATTGGCATCGTGATGAGGAGGTGCCCAGCATAGGGATAGGGATATGTTCCAGGCTGGTAGAACTCATCCTCATCACCCTCTCTTCTCTGGGGGCGGCACGCTGGCCCAGGTCGGCGCCAAACTGGGTCAGCCAGGGCCATGTCGCGAGCCCGAGCCAACCCCAGGCTGGCTGCACCGGTCGCTCATCATTCAGGAGGGAAAGAAGCACACAGACACAATTCATCGTCGAGTCCCAGGAAAATATGGGAAAATATTGGAATTGGGCGGGAGGAAAAACACCCAGAAAATGTAGGAAAATATGGGGAACCTTTTTTTTGTGTATTTATCTGTGTGTCCCAGGGCTCCTCAATCATGAAACTCTTTCTTCGGCGCGCGCCCTCTTCCCCCGCCTGCTTTCTGCGGCCGCCCTCTTCCTCATTCCATCTCTCGCTGGTGGTTCACGAGTGCGCCGCGCGTCCCCGGTTGCTAGAGCGCGCGAGCGGGTCGCCTTCGCCGCGCTGCGACGCTGACAAGATGTGAGTGTGTGTGTGTGTGTGCGTGTGTGTGTGTGTGTGTGTGTGTGTGTGTGTTTGTGTGTGTGCGTGGCGCGGCTTGAATCGGGAATCAGTTGGTGGGCACGTCATGCCCAGGACACCTTACATAGGATCGGCCTCGGGCACAGCAGGTCGGTTTCGTCCAGTTATTTGTTCGTTGGGTCTCGCGCCAGATCCACGGCCTTGTGGGCTCCATGAACAAGGCTGCAGGCACGGAGGGACGTTTCTTGGATACGCGAGCCAGCCAAGAGGGCTGCCTCTTGCCCCGCAGGCGGGGAGGGGTCCGAGGCCCGAGGTTGGCGAGGTGCGTGCGGCAAAAAGGGGCGACGCCGTCCTTCATGGGCCTCTGTCTCGCAGGCCCCGGCTCTCAGCGCAGTCGCACCCCGGGCGTCTCGGGGCCTCGTGGGAGCTCCGTTTTAGGGAGGAGGTGGAGGATGGGGACGAGGAGAAGAGGAGGATAAGAAGGAGGAGGAGGAGGAGGAGGAGGAGAAAGGGAGGGGAGGAGGAGGAGGAGGAGGAGGAGGATGGAGAGGAACACGCTGGAGGAGGAGGAGCAGGAGGAGGGAGGAGGAGGGGAGGAGGAGGAGAGGAGGAGGGGGGGGGGGAGGGGAGGGGGAGGGGGAAGAGGAGGAGGAGGAGGAGGAGGAGGAGGAGGAGGAGGGGAGGAGGAGGAGGGAGGAGGAGGAAAAGAAGAAGAAGAAGTATGAGGAGGAGGAGAGAGGGAGGAGGAGGAGGAGGAGGATGTCGGGGAGGAAGAGGAGGAGGAGGAGGAGGAGGAGGAGGAGGAGGAGGAGGAGGAGGAGGAGGAGGGCAGGAGTTGGTCCAGTCCTGCCCCCCCCCCTCTTCCCGCGCCGGTCGGCTCGGCTGGCCTCCCCAGACCGCAGCAGCCCCGGCCCGGGAGTAGCCCCAGCCGAGGCGGCGCGCCATGGGAGGGAGCATGTCCTGCCGGTCGGTGCTCGGCTTGGCCTTCGCGGCCAGCGCCTTGGGACTGCCCGGGAACCGCCGGGTGACCTTCGACCTGCACCAGGCGCCTCGCCGCAGGGCTGCGCGTGCGGCCGATCGACGAGAGCCCCTCGTGGCGCAGGAGCAGCCAAGGGACACGCTCGAGTCTGACTCGCCGCACCCCAGGTTGCGGCGACTGCAGGCGCCTTCGCACCCCGTAGACCTGTTCAATTTGGACAACGTCCAGTATGTCATGCGCGTCGAGATCGGGGAGCCGTGCCACGGGCCAGGCCGAGACGGGGAAGAGGCCGCGTCGGGCCCCCCGCGGGCGCTGCCGGCCAAGCGCACGTCGGACCTGGTCCCCGTGGAGTCCCAGTATGGCGGCCAGGTTCCGGAGCAAGTGGCCGTAGAAGTCGTGTCGTTGCGCGCACAGATGGGATTAGCCATCAGCGCCGCCACGACACCGAATCACATGATAATGAGGTGGCATGATGGACGCGGTTCTCACCACATTGTCGTGAGACACCCCTCCGCCCTGTCGCTTCAAGGTGGCACGTTCTGTGCTTTCGCGTTTCGTTTGCAATGTTTGTCAACGGGTGCCCTCGTCGTTCCATGATTCTTCGGGAGCTCCTACGGCGAACACACAATCACCCCCTGCCTGTTGGAAACAAATGTATGGCGAAACGTTGGGCTACCTTTTGGTCGAGCTTTGAACAGTGTGTTCCCCCAGTCGTTGTTGGAGACTGTTTGGGGAAACACTTGGGGAATGAAGACAGGTAGGAGGAGGAGGAGGAGGAGGAGGAGAAGGAGGAGGAGGAGGAGGAGGAGGACGAGGAGGAGGAGGAGGAGGAGGAGGAGGAGGAGGAGGAGGAGGGGGGGAGGACGGGGAGGAGGAGGAGGAGGAGGAGGAGGAGGAGGAGGAGGAGGCCCCTCCTGGGGGCCTCTGATGGCGCCACAACGCTCTCTTGGCCAGTCCGGCGCAGGCAGTCGGGAGGGCCTCTCTGGGCCGTTTGGGAGTCTTCTTGTGTTGCGTTCGGACCGTCTTGAGGGTCTCTTGAGCCGTCTTGGGGCCATCTTGGGGCCGTCATGGGTGCCTTTCTAGCCATCTTGAGGCCCGCTTGGCCCGCTTGGGACCTTCTGTTTTGTTTAACGTGGGCGTCTCTGGAGGCGGCAAATCTATGATTTGGGTGTCTTATGGGCCGCCTGGGCTTAGTGGGCCCTGGAAACGACAAGACCATTTTTTCCCGGTTCCGTTTTGCAGTTTTTGTTGCCGGTTCCGACGCCGTTTTTTTACCGGTTCCGTTGCCGTTTTTGTTACCGGTTCCGGCTCCAGTTCCGATCCTGGAGCCGTTTTTGTTGCCGTTCCCGGTCGCCGTTTTTTTGCCGCTTCCATGTTCAATTGACATTTTTGGGGAAACGGTGAAAAAACGGCCTTGCCGTTTCCAGTGCCCACAAAGCGCGTGGGGTGCCTTTGGGAGCCATCCTGGGCCGTCTTGGATCATCATCCGTCTTGAGGCCCTCTTGAGGCCTATCGAGCCGTCTTGGACCCTCTTGGGCCGTGGGGCGTTGATGGAGCTCTTTGGAGACCATCTTGGGGGCCATCTTAGGCGTCCTGGAGCTTTGTGGGCCCTGGAAACGGCAGGGCCGTTTTTTCACCGTTTCCCCAAAAATGCCCCTTGAAAATGGAAGCGGCAAAAAAACGGCGACCGGAAACGGCAAAAAAACGGCTCCAGGATCGGAACTGGAGCCGGAACCGGTAAAAAAACGGCAACGGAACCGGTAAAAAAACGGCGTCGGAACCGGCAAAAAAACGGCAAAACGGAACCGGTAAAAAAACAGCCTTGTCGTTTGCAGGGCCCACTAAGTCCTGGAGGCGGAGGAAGCTCCTTCGCGGTGGTTTAGGGTTGCCCTGGGTGGCAGACCGGATGCGCCGACAGCTCACTGGGAATCTGTTGGCAGGGCCACGAAATGTTTTCACCAGCCTCGAACGTATTCCTATCCCCAAGATTGACACGCCGAAAGGCGATGGCAATCTCAGGGATGCGCCCTCAAAAACCGAGGGAGTCCCTAAGATTGGCATCGTGATGGGGCGATGCCCAGCATAGGGATAGGGACATGTTCCAGGCTGGTAATGTTCGAACGTGTGGAACGTCAAGCCAACCTTTTACATGCAAACGGAGGTGGCGGATCGAAGACGCCTACAGCGAATCACCGCCGCCCCCTGCCTCTTCGGAAGCGCCTGCGTGGCCGAATGTTGGGTTTGAGCTGGGTCAAGCTGTCGGGCCACGCGTTCCCCGAATAGGTTGCGAAAGCCTTCGGGGAACACGGAGTCGGGCGAGCTATCGGACCAGGTGGTTTCCGAGCTTTCGGGTCTCTTGGAGGACGTCTTGGAGGGGTCCTGGGTCATATTGGAGACCTCTTGCGGACCTGTAGGGCATTCTTAGGCCGTCTTGAGGCCATCTGGGGCCGTCGTGGGTGCATCTTGAGGCCATTTTGGGAGTCTTGGAGGCCATCTTGGCCGTCTTGGAGGCATCTTGGAGGCCGTCTTGGCAGTCTTGGAGGCCATCTGCGGGCTTCTTCGGGGCCTCTTGGGCCGTCTTGGGGCCGTCTTGGGGCCGTTTGGGGGGCCTCTTGGGCCGTCCTGGAGCCGTCTTGGAGGCTTCTTGGGCACTCTTGGGGCGATCTTGATGGCCTCTTGGGCCGTCTTGGGCCGTCGGGGAGCTGAAAAGCAGAACATGCGAACAGCTCTACAAAACCTAAGGCAACTCAATGATGTTGACCCTGTCGAACCTTCCTGGAGTAGCTCTGGGAGGCCTCTTGGGGACCTCTTGGGCAGTCTGAGGCCATTTTAGAGTCATCGTGGGCCGTCTTGGAGGCTTCTTGGACGAACTTGATAGCATCTTGGACTCTCTTGGGCCTTCTTGCAGGACAACTTGAACCATCGTGGGCCATCTTGGAGGCCATCTCGGGACAGCCTGAGCATCTTAGAGGCCATCTTGAAAAGTTTTCTAAAATAACCAAAACCGAAAGGTTTTAGCACGCCGGGCACCCCTGTGACAAGCCAATTGGGGGCGGCGGATCTAGCTGGCTTTGGCCCAACTCGCCACCCTGCCAGGTTCGTGGACCAGATGCCCATCAGAGGCCTCCTGGGGTCTCATAGGGGGGCCTCTTGCCCTCCCCCCTCCCCCCTCCCCCTGCCCTCCCCAGGCGCTGGCCACGGCCTGCCTGGCCGTGCTTTTTCCTATACCGCCGGTGGGCCGTGCTTGCCTCACCCGGAGCACGCTTGCCCGCACGGCCTCGCTGCCTCTCCCCGCCGCGGCCTGTGCTCTAGCAGCGCAGAGCCGACGTGGCCTCCGAGCGGGCCCTCGAGGGAGGCCCCCTCCCCCGTCAGTGCAGCTTGTTTGGGATCTGCTGGAGGCATCTTCGGGGCTTTCCTCTGGAGCCTCTTGAGGCTTCCTGGGGACCGCTTGGAGGCTTATTGAGGCATCTTCGAGGTCTCTTGGGGGCCTGCTGGGGGTATACTGGCCACGCGCAGAAGGGGGTAGGGGGAGGGGGAAGGCTTCTTAGAAGCACCCCTGCTTCTTAGAAGGCGCGGGCCTTCTTTGTAGATGTAAGGCCGGCGCCTTCTAAGAAGCAGCCTCCTTCTAAGAAGCCTTCCCCCCTCCCCCTACCCCCCTCTGCGCGCCGCAAAGTATGGGAGGCCCTTTTGGGGGAGGGGGGGGGCGCTCTTGGGGCATGCTCGAGTTCTCCATGTTGCCCACCCCCTTCCTCTTGGGGCCGTTGTGGGAGCCTCTTGGGCGGCGCCTCTTTGGAGCTGGGGGGCTGTCTTGGTGCAGTCTCGGGGGCATCGTAGGTTTTCTAGGACGCTTTGAAGACCGTGCAGGCGAGGGGACTGTCCCCAAACCTCGTACTCAGCTCACCTCCCCCCCTCCTCCTCGGCATGTTCGGGACGCACTTGCACGCATCGTGCCCCGCAGAGAGATCCACTACGGGCCCCAGTGGGCGGGTCAGTACTCTGCCCCCCGCGCTTTTCGGCATTCCTCACACGGATCGTGCCGAGCCTCACAGGGGGGGTCCATTTGCG